CAAATTGGGTTGTATGAACTCCTTGGTCTAATGCTTTGGTTCGCAACCTTCTTCATTCTGTGGCCTCCGACCAATATATAATCATCTCCATGGCCCCGTTCAGTGACTGTCAACTTTTCAGATTCAGTTATTATTAGTTATGAATTAGTCTAATGGTGTCAAGAGATAAGTGAAGATATCCATTTTCACTCATGACTTTTCAACATTTGAAGCAATAAACAGTTAAGATGAGTGTTGACATCTACAAGCCTTTCTGATATGGGTTTTGTACATTATACAATGCTTTCTATTTCCAAATTATCACAGAACATAGAAAACTACTCATATTGGCTGGTGTCTTGGTTTTAAGAGTGAAACTGGCAGCTTAGAAGATGATGAGTGATGAGCTTAGAGTGAAGAGCTTAGAAGTGGAAGAGCTGTACTTCGCGTTAAAAAGCATTATTTTTTAAATGTTCTTTGTAGTTTGTTATTTCCTATGCATTTCCTTTGTTCAGTAATTAACTGCTTGTTTGAGGAACTGTCTTTCCTTCCCTGGTTCTTACAATTAAGATTTTTTCATTATTATTGATTCAAACTATTAATGACATATTCCAAGACTTTATTGTTTTACTTTTTTATTATAGACTTTCCATTAAATATTTCTCTTCATTGACTCTTGAAGCTTAGCAGTACTGTACTTGTTCTCTGGATTATGTGATGAGGTTGACTTCTTTTTCAGATGTTTATTCAAGGGAGTCAGTCTTCTTCTATGAGGGGGCGAGGGAGAATAGCCATTACTAGAGGGACAAGAGGAGGCCCGGGAATGACGAGAATATTCCACCGACGTAAGAGAGGCGGCCGTAAGCGACTCTTTGTGCCGGTCAGAGCTAACCGGTTGCTGCAGCCTAAATCCTTGTCAAGTAAGTAAGATCCTCTGTCGTGGTATGCTAGGAAAGGGTGCCTTTGTCTTTCATTATTATTTTTAATCATTATCAAGTCATTTTTCTTGATCCTTTCTTATCAAGGTACTTTTGATATATAAATTTACGTAATGCCTATTTCTAATTGGTAAACTATTTCTTTGCAACCATGATCATTTCTTTTTCACATATAAGAAACATATCTTAAGAGTCACTTGCTCTTCCAGCACAATCAGATGATATAACAGAAGATGGGGATGAGGATGAGGATGTGGACATTGAAGAAGGCGATGATGATGAAGTTGCAAGTGGATCTGACGAGGGCGACACGAGTTCACGCAGCTCTCGCCCAACCAGCCCCATCCTGGACCCCTCATTTGGAAACCGCAGAAGGCGGAGAGGATTTCCGAGGATGGAGATGCAGACAAGAGGGATTAAGCTCCCTGACTATGCCAACCAGCTGAAGATGAGGCATGTTAAGAGAAAGTTTGAGGGTGGGGAAGGCTCCTCCAGCGCTTCCAGCTGCCGTGAGGAGCCCTTAGACAGGATGAAGAGGGGCAGGAAGAGTGAGTACCCTGATGGAAATTCGGGGCTAGAGCCTGCCTCAGTGACCTCTGACCCCTTGGAATGGACAGTGCATGACGTGGAGCAGTACGTTGCCAGTCAGCCGGCCATTTGCCACCACGCAGTCCGACTACGGGAACAGGAGGTGGATGGCCGGGCTTTCCTGCTCTTGAACCTACCCACGTTGGTGCAGCACCTTGGCTTGCCACACAGTTCGGCCGTGGCTCTTGCTCAACATGTATGCCGTGTAAAACTTGCTCATTTCCTTTTCTTTTACAGGGCAGAAGCTTGACCATCATTTTTATATAAAGGAATTACTATAATTAATTGAACGTGCACAGTTTTCAAGTGGTCTGTTTTTTATGTATATACAGTATATTTGTATAACTTTGTATAATATGAACAACACAATGAATGTTAAATATTGATAATTAGCTATATTAATTACTTTTATTGTAAGTTAAGTCATTCATTCTTGTATATTAGAATATCTGTTGTGCTTATTGTTAATGCTATTCACAATAAAATAAATAAATGTAGAGAAGCAATTTTCTTACACATTTTGTACATGGAATTCAAGCCAAAAAAAAACAGATTTATATATAAAAATGTCAGGTAAAATGCATTAAAAACTTTTAAATAAATCCTTTCCTTTTAAAGAAAGAATACATTGTATATTTGTCATTTTAGATTCTCATTTTCATTACATCCAACGCTGAAATGCACTGCCACCATATATTGGTTAAAAAAATTATATTATATATGTATGTTCTGCACATACATACATGTCACTGAAATATGTTATAGAGAAGAATGTTTTCTCAAAATATGTACAGTTTACAAATAAACTCTTGACACATGTAATTCCTATAAATATTTTTATTTAAATGGAACCAAGCACTGATCAAAGTCATTTCAACTACTACAGTCAAGAAAATAGAAATATCAATTTTCTTGATACACGATTGCTTGATTTATGTATTTTATATATCTCTTGGACATTGTCGTGGATAAAGCAATTAATTTCAATGTTGATATAGATCAGCTTTATCTTTTCCATCTAATTAGAAATTTAATATTAAAAATGCAATACAAATAAATTGCATTTGAATTGATGGAAATAAAGTTGAATTTGAGTAAATCACATATCTTAAAATTCTGTGATTTTGATCATTCTGCACAAGATATTGTCATAGGAATTTTAGATAGGTTTGTAATTTTTTAATAACAGAAAAGGTTCAGAAATGGTTCTTGTAGACGTTGGACAGAGATCAAGACAGCGAGAACCTTTGAGAATTAAGTTAACATTTTCACTCTTATAAATATCAAGTTCAGTGGCATATGATAGTTCCTTCAGGTATTCTGGATGAGTTTCAGTTTTAAACAAATACTGCTCACTTTAGTTGTGTTACAAAAAAAAAAAAGAAGAAATGAGTAGTATTAGCCTTCCACCAAACATTTCTTGGCTAAGAAGGCGTCTGATTCAGATCAAAAATATAAATGGTTAATGGTTAAATAAATGCGCTAGACATCTAATCAAAAATATTTTAAAAATTCTATGAAAGTCGTCCAACTTTTTCCATCACTGTGAGCCATTTTAGCACCTATCAAGGGCCGTATTTTTAAAAAGTTTAACCAGCCATGAATACAAGCACAAACACAGGAATGTGTACACTAAGATATAAAGGAGCCATAATAAGAAATGAAGCTGAATCGTAACATTACAAACACATGAAGAGTTCCTCATCCGACAAATAAACAAAATTGATTAGACCATCATGTCTTAAATAAATTTCATGCCTATGGATCGCACTCAAAATCTCTGAAATATACCCATTATTTCTTATTCTATCCAAGATTTCATTGAGGAAAATTAAACACTACAGAGGGAGAGTTTCTTTAATAAACAAGGAAGTTAAGAAATACAGTAAATACAATTTGTGATACAAATACTGAAAGTTGCCAAATGACTAGAATATTGAACAATACTAATTCAGTACTTAATGAATACAACATGTATATATCATTAATGCCCAAATATGAAAAGAATTTATTCTGTATATATCATTTTTTGTGACCAAGAAAGGGAATGGATAAAAAGATAAGATGATAACAAAAAATGAGTGGTAACACCATATACTCACACATACATATATATATACATGTAGAAATATAAATGCCTACATGTTACAGTAAACCATGAATTTAAAAGATATATATAAATGCAGTTATTATTTCCTAAGCAGCTAGAGGTGGAACAGGTATTTGAGTTGGTAAATGTCAACTGAAGGACATATCTGGCTTCAGATAGTTGCCAATCTGCCATTGCTTTTTAACCTCTTGTTAATGGGAGGCATGTTTGTGCAAGCTAAACAGCTGTTTTCTTACTTAGGCATAACTATAGTGATTTCCTAGATACAGACCCTCAAAAGTAGGCTACAGTTACTTTTTAGCATTGTTCACAAGACAATTATATATGCTGCAGCCAAACTCAAAGAGGATGGGAAAAATATGTTTCCCTACAACTGATTTTTCCCTCGAGCAGTTGACTGCACATGACGTGTGGTCCAGAGTGGTGTGTGAAGCTCCAATCAACAATGGATTCATCATGATTGCCCTTAGCTGCCACAAATATTCATAGTGATAAAGTAAGATATCTAACAGAACCATTAAAACAATGATTTACTGTAGCTATATATATGTATGCTTGTATGTATGTATATATTTATATGTATCTATAAACATAACAGGAACAAATGCAGACTAGCTACCCTTAATCAAAAAGTGTTGATTCAATGTTGATCATTATGATTCTAATTCCAATACATTATATGGAAAAAATGGAGATTCTTGTAAAGTATGATTTTCTTAAACCTCACCAACAGATCTTTACAGCAAAATAATTTCTATACTGCAATAAATTACCATTGTTATTTGGCAAGTTATATGGCACAATTGCCTATCATTTCACCTTATTTCAACTGGTAGGGAGAAAAGGTCTCACACATTAGGGAGTATATCAATCTACAAGTTATTTAAGGCCTCATCATTAAAATCAACAGTACAATATAATGGTCTTTGTTGTTGGGAAATTCTTGGGGAACTAAGGATCCTACAATTTCACATTTTACTTGCTTTTGTCTTTTGTATCAAGGGATGTGCACTGCAGTGGGTTTCCATGAAAAGAAATAAAAGGAAGAAAAAATGCACATCCCTACGAGGAATATAAACTAAACAATCAATTGTTTCCATAGAGAAAGAGAGAGAGAATGTGACAGAAGGAAAGAAAAATCATGTCTTTTTGGATCCCAACATATCTTTGGTAGGAGGAACAGTAGACCAAGGGTAAAAAACTTTTTTTTAGCCTTTAGGCTTAATCATGATTATTATGAACTTCAAATCAATCTACCGGTTTGAGTGTGATGAACCTAGAGGCAATGAGTGTCAATAAGATTGTGCCGACAGTGAAACACCCGGCAAATATGTACCAGGTTTCTTCATCGAACACATCTGTAAAGGCTGGAACGCTATCATACACTTTATTGACAATGCTGAGGGTGGCCTCATATTTGCGCTGAGCTTGGGTCGACATGTTGGCTGTGAAGCTAACTTGAAATTTTCTAGTCTGTATTACTGTATTTCTTAATGAACCCCAAACAGATACTAAACCACACCCATATGTACAAAAGGCTTTCCTATAAAAGTCAATACGTCCTACGTCCTTCTCTTGCCTGGCTTTGTCTTGCCTCCTTTGACTGGGGTTGAGCTCGACTCTGCCGGTTCTGCTTGACTGCTCACTAGTTCATTAAATTTCTTGAGTATTTCCACTGTCTCAAGATTTTGCGTCTTGAATAGTATCTTGTGACCTGAAACTGGAAAGACATTGAGATGAAAAAGTGAATTCATATAAGAAGCTGCACTTTTAATAAGAGAGAGAGCGAGAAAAAAGTGAGTCTAAGTGTACTATCAAAAAGTAAAGCACAGGAATAGCAATGTCTGTATAGGAGAAATATTGTTATCAAGTACTCATAATTATCATTACCAAAAAATCAAGATGAAACTATGCTCTCTAGATATAAAATGCCTATTTCCTTATATTTTTCTGAGTCTAAAATACCAACATGGATAAATTTTACATAACTGATATTCCAACTGAAATAAAATTCACATTTTACTTGTTTCTTACTTTATTAAAAGAACAAAAATATTTTAAGAAAGCCTTACAAAAGTTGGATAAGGCCTTTTTTTTTGTTTATTTGTTTATCTACATCTATTGTGCCTATATATACATTAATCAATTAATTATGCAGAACTAAATAAAAGAAACGGTAACCTTACCAAGAGTAACCTTTATGGTGGGCTCGGATCGGTCACAAACAACAGTGGTCTTCACAGTGCAGTTTGGATTGGTGTCACGAACCCTCTCTTGATTGAAAAGAGTAAGCATGCGTCTGAAAATTTGAAGATCCTTTGTTGATTTGTGTTGAGGTTCGAGGTTCAGTGGATGCAATTTAAAACGAACAGGTTCAGATTTTCAAATTTGTCTCAGGATCAGAATATCAAGCAATCTATTTCATACAATACCCAAATAAGTACAAATTCAAAAGAAGCAGTCAGAGAGACATCCCAATTTGACAATAATCCAGAAAAATGGATGAAAGATGAAATTGATAGGCAAGCACTTAATCTAATATAATTTTTTCCCCTATTTGAATAAGGACTTTCCATGCAAAACAAAATAAATGAATACTTTAAAAAAGATACCTCTGGCAGATTAAATAACCAAATTTTCATTTAGTCGCAATGTGAGACGGAGAACCAGAATGAAACTAGGACGACACTCGGTTACATTTTGTCTAATCTAGTCCTTTGATAGGAAAATCTAGAATTATTTGTGATAAAAATGGATGTGCAAAAATTTTCCCTCAGAATACAACTGATTTCAATACTATTTGTACATAATTCTTTGTACTGCTGTAGTTTCTTTCATTTTCCTCAGACTGGCGAAAGTAATTGTTATCTCGTACAGATATTGCAACCAGCAAGCCAACAAGCCAAACACCTAAATTCACCTAGCATACACTTAATTTTATACCTGTCGTAGGGGAGTTTTGGCCACTGTAAAACTGTTCCCCTCAACAGGAATTTAGGAAAAAAGAGGTATGTCCCAAAATGCTGATGACGGAACTTTTGATACCTATTTGCTATTATCCTTCGCTTTCGAAATGTAATATATATAAAGGTTATTGTCCTTTTACTTCCTTTGTAAGAAAATATTCTTTCCTGTTGCCTATCTATACACTTTCCTGGTTCTATAAATCTTTTAGAAGGAAAAATAAAAGTTTATAAAAAAAAAAAAAAACTTTCTGGCACATCATTTCAACATTAACTATAAATGTTACTTTGAAATATACACTAAAACAACCTTTCTACTCTTTTGCGCTAAATTAACCCATTCATTAACTATTCGCCACAACTTTCCCTATGAATGGAAAAAACCTGACCAAGTATATTTCTGCTAAAATTATCCACTGTTTGAGGTCATGTATTATGTAACCTAAAAGTGCAGTTTTATTATTTCATTGCTTGTGTATGAACTTTCTCTATAAATAACAAGTTAATGTTCAATCCTTCCCTTTCAAAATGAACCCAAATGAGAATATTTCACGACCACGGGACAACTACATAGCACGGAGAATTTCATATAGTATAAAGAACTTCACACTTGATTTGGCTTATGATTAAGTTCGGTTAGGTGAGAGAGACTAAGTGAGGCTACGTTATGATTAAGTTAGACTACGGCAAGATTAGACTAAGTTATGCTAGGTCTGATTAAGTTTAGCTAGGTTAGACTCAGGTTAAGTTATGCTAGATTATGATTAAATTAGACTATGGCAAGGTTTGACTAAGTTACACTAGGTTTGACTAAGTTGGACTAATTTAGGCTAGGTTATGACTATGTTATGACTAGGGCAAAGTTAAAATAATTTAGGCCAAGTTAGATGAAGTTAGGCTAGGTTAGACTGAGGCTAAGTTAAGATAGGTTCTAACTAAGTTGGACTAATTTAGGCTAGGTTATATTAAGTTAGGCTTGGTTAAGACTATGTTAGGAATAAGGCAAAGTTAAAATAATTTAGGCTAGGTTTGATGAAGTTAGGCTAGGTTATGACTATGTTAGGACTAAGGCAAAGTTTAAATAATTTAGGCCAAGTTAGATGAAGTTAGGCTAGGTTATGATTACATTAAGACTAAGCCAAAGTTTAAATAATTTAGGCTGGGTTTGATGAAGTTAGGCTAGGTTAGACTACGGCCAAGTTAAGACAGGTTATGACGAAGTCCGACTAAGATACGGTTAGATTAATTTAGGTTAGATTAAGTTAGTCTAGGTTCGACAACATTAGTTCAGGTTTGACTAAGTTGGTCTATGTTAGATTAGGTTTGACCCTTTGACGTTATTAGTGGGAAAGAGGTGAGCGAGTCTGGATTTTGTAAACTTATTTCTTATTATTGCTAATTTCATTTCTTCTTAGTGTTTGTCTTCTTTTAAAGTGCCTACTTTTTTCTTTATATTTACTTTTAATCATCACTTTAATTAAAAAAAGGGAAAAATTATATAAAGAATGAAGATACACTAATTATGTAACGGGTCAGAATTTTTTTTTTACTCCGCGAATTTTCATTATAAAATACATAACTCAAAATGAATATTTACTACATACATTTCTAATGAAGATTTATTTGACTAAACGCCAAATATCTAACCATCATCAGATTATATTCATATCTAGTTCCGCTTTCTTTGTCAGTTTGCCGTAAACTAGTTTTACGAATTCTTCATATAAAATGTGATTATTCGTATCATTTCAGAGACCGAGATAATGCCGACAATGACAGCTAATTCTGTGACACGTAAATAAATAGCAGATATATATTCAATTCCATAAAAACATAAAACAAAGCATTACTATTAAACCCGTGATTAAAATTTTCAGCTCGCAACTAATGCTGTCGTTTTCTTTTCAATATCTTGTCTATTTCCTTGCGAAAAAAAATTCACATCCAGTTCTGTAATAAAAATACGGCATGTTACAACACCGGTGCCACATAAGTGAGTGCCAAAGAGTGCCAATCTTAATTTTCTTAATTTATTTAAACAATTCCGCAATTTCGTCTATTATAATAATCTGATCTAGCTTCCTGTCAAAAAAAATATTTGAAAAGAATAGCAACAGTGAATGAAAATGGATTAATGTGAAGAAAAAGGCAAAACAATGCCACACCTCACACAGTGCCAAACAAGTGCCACTGTTTATTACGCTTTTTTTCTCTCGCATTCCCTCTTTCTCTCCTTCATTCCAGCGTTCATTCTCCCTCTCTCTCTTTTTCCTTTTATTCACGAAATTTTCTCCCCTATTCTCTCCTTCTCTTCTCCCTCCTATCCATCCAATCTTTCTCCCCTCTCTCCCTCTATTCTCTTCCTTCATCCCTCTCTCATCCCATTTTCCTCTCTCTCCCTCCTTTTATTCACCAATTTTCTCCCCTATTCTCTCCCTTTCTCCAATCCATCCAATCTCTCCCTCTCCCTCCCTCTCCCTCTCCCTCTATCTCTCTCCCTCTCTCCCTCTATTCTCTCTTCCTCCACCTCTCTCTCTCCCTCCTTCCCGTTACCTCAGCGACAAGGTTCTCTCCCGGAAAGGATCGAAGGAGAATTCGATCTTCTTCGCCGGTTTAAAGGAGAGGATCTTGGACTCCTTGGCGATGGCGGCCGCGAGACCAGCGCTGCGGGTGAGGGTGCCAGACACGGTGTAAGGGAGCGCCATCTTGGAATGAGGGAATGGGAGGGTGGGAGAGAG